GAAGGGGAGGTGGTGGACACAGCCTACCTCTGCTCTGAGCTGCTGGGGGGTCTCCTTCCTCTGGTTGCCATCTCACCGCGCTGCCTGGGGCAAGTCACGTGTCTGGGGAGGCCCAGGTTCAGCGTTGACACCCACTTCTAAAACTGACGGGGACCTGCGTCTCAAGGGACCTTCTGGAGCACAAACAGCTGGGGGTGCAGCCCAGAAGGTCCCCCAGAGCCCCAGAGCCTCTGCACTCACCAAGGGCCCTGTGGGAGCCTGGGGTCCTGGATGCTGCCCCAGCAAGGGGCTTTCTAACTGGGGAGAGCAGGCCCCTTTCACAGCCTTCTCTGTACCTCAGACACAGCACTGGGCACTCGGGGGCAGCTGGCACGTGCTGCCAGCATGAAATGCAGTCCTCCTCTGCTTCCCAGGACCAGCAGCGAGGAGGAGCACAGGGGCAGCTCAGGGCAGGCCAGGCCAGTGGAGGACAGGGGGCACCACTGCTCTGCCACACTCAACTCCCTGGGTGCACGAGTGCCTGCGGGTCTCTGCCTCTGCTCTCCTGCCCAGTCTACACCATGCAGACTCCCCAAGGATGGCGACTCACAGACCCAAGGGCCCAGGCTGCACATAGCTCCCACCCTGGTCTCTGCCAGGGACCTGCCCAACAGCAAGTCTGCTCAGGGAAGGACAGGGAGGAGCAAGGTGCTGGCCAGGCCAGCCTGGGGCCATCAGCAGAACCGACACCAGTGAGCTTGGAGGTCAGCCTCGCAAAGCATGAGGCTGGGCCCAGGCGGTCGCAGGCCCCTGAAGTTCCCCTGGGGACAGGAAAACATTCTAACTATTCTTGTGACTTTCACAACTCAACAGCAGCTTGAGAAACTAGAGACCTCCTGGGAACTGTTGGAACTTCGCAGAAAGTGAGGAACAAGACTGAGCTGCAAGCGCTGGAAATCCTCCTTCCAGAGCTGGGGAGAGTGCCGGGCAGCGCGGGCATCTTGCTCACCGTGCAAACCAGGCAATCTTCTGGGGAGTGGCGTACACCGAAGGCTTATGATGTGAACTTGAGGCTCTCTGATGCCAGTCACGGGACAGAAGGACACACACCCAGGAGCACACCCCTCCAACCTCAGCCACGGCCCCTGGGCACCCCTCCCCACTTGCCCTGCGGCTCACTGTGCTGCCTCCTGCCGTGGGCTGCATGGTGGCCTCCGCAGACGTCTAAGCTCAACCCCCAGGGCCCCTAAACACCTCCCCTCACTTGGCAAAAGGGAGTCTGCAGGTTGGATCCTGAGGAGGGGGATGAGCCCAGATTATCCAGGTCCCAGTGTCATCAGCAGCGTCCTCTCAAGAAGCAGAGGGTGAGTCAGGGAGGACCGTGTGGTCCCGAAAGCAGAGGGAGGCAGAGGCGGAGGCGGAGACGGAGAGGGACACAGCAGGAAGACGGGGAAGGGGCAAGAGCCAGGCTGTGGCCTCCAGCAGCTTGGAGAGACCAGGACACAGAGTCTTCTCAGAGAGGAAGCCCGACTGAGCCCAGGGAGGCTGAGCAGGGACTGTGGCCTCCAGAACCTCAGGTAAGAACCTGCGTGGCTTTAAGCCACTGAGATGGGGGTGACCTGTTACCACAGCCACGGGCAGCTCTCCAGTTCCAGGCGCTGCTCTCCTGTCCATGCAGGCAGTACCCACACACTGGCCCCCTGGTGCCCAGCAGGGGAGCTGGCTGAGGAGTTCTGGGAACTCCTCAGAGCCACGTTTTCCTGCCTGTCCACAGAAGTGCCAGCCACACAGCATCTCTCCCCACAGGAGGCCTGCAGCCCATTGCAGGGGAGGTGCATGGTCCTCCTGGGAGTCTTTCCTGAGCTGGTTGGGGGGAGGGGGAGGGGTGACCTCTGAGCACAGAGAGTTTCAGAAGAGCTCCAGTCGAGGAGTCACACACCAGCCCTCAGCCACACACCTGGCCTGCCCTGCTCCCGATTCCCACCGCCCTCCGTCTCATGCAGGTATACAGCAAGCAAAGCCTTCCTGGCCCATGTGGGGGCAGAGCGGGGGGCTTTTCCAGGCCCAACTGCCATTGGCACCCACCTTTAATGTACCACCATGGGATCAGTGCTGGAAACAGGTGACAATCCTGTTGTCTTCCCAGAACTGGAGAATCACCCAGAGTCCTTTCCGTGCCATGCATGGCCCAGGCTACTGGAGCCCCAGGTGTGGGGCAGATTTGTGTCCCAGATTCATGTGTTGAAGTCCCAACTGATAGCACCTCAGAATATGGCTGTTTGGAGATAAAGCCTTTGAAAAGGTGATTTAGTTAAAATGAGGACACTGAGGTGGCTCTTGATCCGATCTGTGTCCTGCCAAGAAGAGGAGGCCATGCACGGAGGGAGGACCACGTCCCGAGCCAGCAGGAGAGCAGCCTCACAACTATGGAGAGAAGCCCCCGGAAAAGCCACCTGCTGGCGTCTCCATCTTGAACTTCAGCCTCAGAATGCTGTTCAGGCCACCCAGCTGGCGGTACCTGTCACGCCAGCCCCAGTACACCCTGCCCTCCCTCAGGCCTGCCCACATCTCAGCAGAACACCAAGTGTCTAGTGATAATGACGTGCACCCAGAGACACCAAGGCTCTCAAAGGCACAGCCCTCAAGGGCAAGGAGGGCTAAGGAGTGAGGCCTGTTGTCACCTAACGCAGATTCCAAAGCAGGAAGACAATGGAGGCCCACCCTGGATAGGGCCCACCTCTACCCTGACTTACCCACAGCTGGACCCTGGCAGGAGGCCCTGGAAACACCCGAGTCCTGGTCTCTGCCCCTGAGCGTTCTTCTGATCCTGGGTGTGGCCATGGCCACCTCTCACCCGCCACCCTCCATAAGCCCCTTCACACAGTGAGCAGGCACCTCTGGCCAGTGAGATGCCAACCTTGTCCACCACTTGCTCACCCACACAGGACACTGTGGAAAGAACAGACGGTGTGCTGGAGACGGGGAGGACACGCGCCCTGTAAGCACCAGTCATATGGGTCCATCTTTAATTATGTTAAATATTAATAGAAGCACAACACCACCGTGATTCACATGACACCTCACACAACTAGGGGCTGCGGTGGGCACACCCGTGTGCAGTGTCTTCAGTACCAGGTCGTGAAGAACCTTCCATTTCGCTTTGGTCTGGGGTGATGGGCTAGAAAGCCACTGCCCAAGGATGGCATCTGTGCTGTCAACAGGAGCCAGGCCTCGACGGAGAGAGCAAAGGCAACAGTGTGGCCCCTGGAGAAAGGCCTGGAGGGAAAAACCATGTCTGGATGGCACTGGGCGGCACAGAGAGGGGGCCTGCATATACAAAAGAGATCGGTAATGAACCAAATAATATTGGAAATAATACCTTCGTAATACTTCTGTAAGAAGCAGAGTTACACGACATGTTATTCACATGCATAGGAGTGCATAAGAAAAACCCCTTGTTGAAATCATGGCTGATGTTGAATAGCAAAATATGTATTGGAAATGACAAGTTAATTGGCAGAGAAATTAATCTGTAAAGGCATTGTGTCCAGAGAGGAGGCCTCGTCAGCAACAGGACTGAAGGGAACCCACTCAGCAAATGCGCCCACACACACGCGCACACACACTCTGTATTCCAAATAAATACACACACACACTCCGAAGTGATATCTCCCTAAAGCATCCTGTGCTCAGGCCAGACTTCCCCTCTGGCGGCTGCTGTGAGGGCCTTCTGCAAGAGAAAGGTGGGGATTGTCCCTGCAAGTGGTGATCAGGACACACAGCACCTTCAGTAGCAGAAACAGCCCCGGCCGCAGCAGTGCTCAGAGCAAGCCGCACCCCAGGCAATGGGCGCAGGACAATGAGCTCAGCATCCCTTTTGCAGTGGCAGGAAGACGATAGCAATAGGGTCAGATAGCTGAGCAAGTGCACATCCTGGTGCCACCAAAGCCCAGCTATTTCACACACGAGCGCCAGTTGGGTATGTAGTGTTTGCACTTTCTGACTCAGAAGATGGGACCTCAATCCGAGAACACGGGTTCACAGGAAGCTTCCCTTGACCACAGGAGTGCAAAGCTTCCTTGTCCCACCTTGGGCTGAATGCCAAGCAGGCCCAAACATTCTTTTCCCCGTGACTTCCAAGAAGTGACAAGACCTTCAGCCCATCCATTGTAAACCAAAGCTGCCTAGAGTACTGGAAAATTCCATTAAGAACATTGCTCCTGGCAATCTCATTCCAAATTCCAGCATACTACATTAAGCCCAAGTTTAGCCTGTGCATTGTTTCTGAATCAGGATACCAGAATCTTGCAGCTCCTTAATGAGAGAGGAGCTGGAGAACTTGGATAACGAACTCGTTCCAGAGAGGTTCCGCGAGGGGCAGAGCCTGCAGCCAGCAAGGACCCAGCACTTGAGCCCCTTGAGTTCTCTGAGGACCTGCATGCCTCAGGACTTCAGTCACTGAGACTCCACAAAGGGTTCAGCTCCTTGAGGATGCAGGATTCCGGCATTCAGCAAAAATTCCCCTTCCAAATATAAACAGAATTTCTTGAGAAAACATCTAAAGAGGCAGGAGGGAGAGCTAGGGCTAGTCCAATGCAGGAAGTGGTTTGTTAACGCATTCATTTTCTAGTTAAACATGAAGTCTACAAGGGCAGAACGCGAGGCTGGAGATGAACAGCTGCCAAAAACAATTTTTTTCTCTTGGAAACTGTGAACAGGGTTTATTTCTGATGTCACTGGAGAGCTGACTTGGGAGTAAGAAGAAAAGAAAAAGAGATTCCATTCTCAAAAGAGGTTCCGTACTCCACCCAGATGGGGTGAGTGATCCAATCAAGAGTGTTGCAAAACTGCTCGTGAGCATGAGACGTGTACATTCCGGCCAGTCCAAGGCGAGAGCGCTGGTACTTCACAGGACCCCAGGACTGTCAAACCCTGGACTCAGGCTGTCCTGGAGGTGGCTGAGCAGAGTTGGGCTGTGGCCTCCCCAGGCCTCCTCTCTGCACTGCAAGCCCGTCCCTCCCCAGGCCTCCTCTCTGCACTGCAAGCCCGTCCCTCCCCAGGGCTCCGGGTGCTCACAGAGCAGAACTCAATTCTTGCCCACCTGCAGCTTCCAGTGGCCTCTGGAGGGGCTCTGTGGGGTCAAGGGCTAAGCTACTGAACTTCACAAAGGAAATTCTGGAATGGTTCTAATTAACAGGTGCCTGGGGAGGAAAAGAAGATGGAGTCTCCCGGTTTTCTCCACACTGTGTGTAAAACAGTTCCCCACCGAGGGAGACGGTTCAAGTCATGGCAATGACAGGGTCGCTGAGCCCCATGCCTACAGCCAGGACTAAGGTCTCACTGTGTCTTCCACGCAAACGCTTCATCGGCGAGGATCTGCACCAGCCGAGCATTGAAAGGCCCATAGAAGTCCTGCAAGATCTTCTGTGTGACCGGCCACATGGGCCCCAGGTTCCGGTCCTCTGGACGCCGTGCATTGGACGCAGGGCTCTTGGTCATCAAGGCCTCTTGCTTCTCACTTAGGGGCCCTGGAACGAAAGGCAAAGAATCCCATGAGGCCAGAGGCAGGGCAAGCGGCAAAGGGGACTGTGCAAAAATCCCAGCTCTGCTCTGTGCCGAGAAAGGGATTTCCTTCAAGAGGAATGTGTTTGGGGCTTCAAATTCCTTGGCTGGATCCATTTGGAGGAGATGGGGGAGGGAGGTGGAAATACCATTAAGAAACAGCAAAGGAATTCTGGGCAGTGTGTGAGGCCACCCTCGGGGAGTCCCGCTGGTGCTCAGGACGGGCTCACCTCGGGGACTTGCTCCAGCTCTGCTTAAAGGGCTGCTTTCCCGGGCAGTAGCCTGTTCTGAGCACTGAGAACCCTGCCAGGCACAGTCCAGGGGCTTAGTGTCCTGCTGGCTAGCTGCTGGGATTCTGCCACAGTCATTTCCACGTGGGCTCCTGATGCCAAGGGGTCCCTTTTCACCTGTGTGTCTGGCTGTGAGGTGGCCATGGCAGGGGTGTAGGCAACCTGTGCCCAGAGTCCCCGCTGGCTGCACCTCCACCTACAGCAAGTACATCAGTGAGGAGACACCTGTGACGAGCTGGCAGGGCTGCCAGCTGAGGCTGCCACATGAGCCCAGGCATGGGACACAGGCTGCTCACTGGCTTCAACCCACCCATCATTGGTCAGGCCTCTGGAGCCCGGGCTCTCGGGATCTGGACAAGGTCCTTAGCAAATCCCAGTGCCCTAAGGTTATGCAAGATAAAAAGTGGGCCTTACTGTCCCTCTTAAGGACGAGACACAAGCTCATTAAGGTGAGGGAGTCTTCAGGTGGCCAAATTTTTAAAAATGAATAATTGGTTCTAGTCCTTAGAAAGAAAAGTGACCACACTCCAACACATTACCAGCTCTCCCAAAAGGAGAAAGAAAATCAAAAGACCCAGTGAGGCAGATATATTTTAAGAAATATTCAATTAACAAAATTCCCAGGCAAGGTCCTTGGGGCCGCAGGAGGCACTCGGGGAAGGAGTTGGCCCGTTCTGACCCTGCCTCAGCTTTGGCCACTATCCTTGGGTGACACCTCCCCATGGACAGCATACCTCCACCTGTATGTGTCCCTGCCAGCCATCGCCATGGGAAGCAGTGTGGTCTGGGGCACAAAGTGCCCTAGGGACTTGGGCTGGTGTCCTCAAGCTCAGGGTAGGCTCACCCTCCCAGAGCTGTGGCCAGTGACCAACAGTCACCAACTCTGGCTCCAGGGATCCCCAGCGACTCTGAGACGGTGCAATGGCCAGTTCCCTCCTCCACACCCCGTGCCTTCTGCAGGGATATTCCAGCCACCAACATTGCCCTGTTGGTCCTTCAAAGCTCCAACCACACACCCTTTCTTCCCACGAAGCTTCCACAATCCTTCAGCAGCTGGGGTCCCCAGTCGTCAGCACACACCTCCATGACAATAGTAACCTCCCCCCATGTCACGCCACCAGTTACTCAATGAGTACAGCAGTGGCCTTGTCCTCTCCTTCTGCTGGAAGGCCACCTCCTCCACCCCAGAGACTCCCTTCACCATGCCAGGCACAGTGGCCAAGGGGCTGGTGCTCAATAAACAGACACTGACCTGGCCTCTTTGGAATTCCCTGGGCTTCCCAGCTAGCCCGTCCCTGGCCAGCTTGCTGTGACTGTGCTTGACCCAGAGAGTTCCCCAAGAGCCAGCCTCCATGGGGCTCACACTGGGCCCCATCAGTCAGAGCCATGTCACATACCCAGGTTCAGGAACTGAAAGACCCTGTGCATGGTGTACTTGACATTGGATGCGTGGTCTTCCAGGCGCAGAATGAGAAACTGATCCTTATTAAAAACAGTGAGCCAGTCCAGAAGGTACACGGCATACAGCCCCACCTGGAGCCTCACCTAGGACAGAGGAGGAGGGCATTATTTCAGGAGGCATGTTCCTGGCTCTCTAAGGCACTTTTCCAAAAGCATTACGGCCTTCATAATAAAGCAACCCGGGAGAATTAGCCTGGCCAACAGTTGCCTTCAACAGAGGTATCTGAACACAAGGTGCCCTAGAATCGCCACAAAGAGTCTGTACTATGTGGACAGAGAATTTCTACACTCTGGCTGCACTGAATCCTCACCACAGCCCCACAGGAGCGCCATGTCTCCACGTGGCTGGTGAGCACTGGGTGTGGGGAAGAGGTCAAGGCTGCAGCAACCAAGGAAGCATGTGCTCTCTGCATGACATCCCAGCCCTCTCCCTGCTCCCTGAGCAACCTCTATGTCCAGCACACAACAGGCTGTGGAAATCCACCGCAGACGCTCTCAGACAACCCAGGCGCCACAGGGACATCCGTGGCCGTGAGCTGAGCACATGTGGACGTGACTGGTGCAGAAAGAAGCCCACAGACCCCAGGCCCTTCTCCTGTCCACCTACTCACTTCCTGGTCCTCATCCTTCTGTTCCTTTCTCTTGTGCCAAACTGCAGCAGTGCAGTCAAGAGTTAACCCAGAGAAAGGTCTGGCCTCCGCCCTTGGCTGCTGGGAGGTGATCTCAGGCCCTGCAATGCACTGCCCACCAGGAGTATCTTGGCTTGTCGGAGCTTTGCCATGGACAGGCTAACAAAGTGACTAACGACGGGGCTCTGGGCTACAGGTAGGTGTCACTCCTGACCTCTGGAGAGACTGGAGACCAACAGTCACAAGGCAGTGAGTAAGAGAGTCCCAGTAAGAACTCTGGGCACCAAGGCTTGGTGTGACAATAGTCCACAAGTGCCATCACGCATCCATCATGGCTGGGGGGCAGGAGCACTGCCCACGGCTCCCAGGGGAGAAGAGGACAGGGCTCTGCACCGGCGCCCCTGGCCCTGCCCATGCCCTTTTTCCCTTGGTTGACTTCAATCTGCACCTTTTCCCTGAAATAAATCGTGACCACAGAGATGGCCACCTTCAGTGTGCCCTGTGAGCTTTTCTAGAACATGAGTGAACTTGGTGGTTTGGGGATCTCCTCCAGAACTTGCAGTGGCATCAGAGCGAGGGCAGTGAGGGAAGCCTCCTCCCCACCTCCCTGTCTACACCCCTCTCCCTTTGTCCATGCCCGTTGCTGCCCTCCTGATACACAGCTCCTGTCTGGGCCTACACACACACACCCTTACCTGGCCACCAGCATGTGCTGGCCGAGCAGTGAGCTGGCCACCACCAGCCCTGCTCAGGCCTCCAGAGCCCTCCACACAGAAAGTTCTTGTCCAGTTTGACCTTCTGGCTCACCCCTCCACCTGGAGCACCTCCCAGCGCTGGCTCCTCCTAGAGCTTAAGGCTCACTTAGGCTTCTTGCCCTTGACCTTGAACCCCTTGAGTGCAGGGTCAGTGGCTTCAAGGAAGGCCATCAAGCCTTCCTCTGGAAGACCCTGTGTCAGTGCCCAATATGGTCCCCGGCATAACTGCTGAGCTCAGTTAACAATCAGATGAAGAAACACTTGAAAAGTATGTGCAGATGCTATCAAGTTTCATATCTTGCTATTCTTTTTACATTTCATTATTTTTCTAACGATGTAGGAAGATGGGGAGGAAGGAAAGCAATTAGAGGGAATAGAGTGTTGTCTCCAAAATTCATTAGCTGCCTCCGGCCCACAATTCCTCTCTACCCATACACCAGCTCATAAAAAAGACCTCAAGCTGGGCCGGAGCTGCGAGGAACGAGCCTGCGTCAGCCTCAGAAACGAGACCGCGTGGCCTCCAACGCCAAGGAGCAGACCTCTCGGAGCTTTTCAAGCCTCTCTCCCTGGCATCTCGCAGGCTTCTCCCTGGGGGGAGAACAGACTAATGAGGTTTATCGCTTCCAGAGAGCCTGGCTTTGCAACTAGAGAACCTTCTGGAAGGAAAGTGGTCAAGTGTTTGTGCAGCATGCTGCCCCTCAAGCGTAGCTGTAGCCTGTCCCTGCACCTGGCCACAGTGACAGGATATTCTCTGAAGGTTCATGCCCACCTGGTCAGAGTCCCTCCAGTGTCCTCAGCGGGCCAGAGTCCTGGGGCCGAGTCCTGCAGTGAGCCCTCCTGATGGACAGGGCTGTCCAGGCAGGGAGCATGCAGGCTTCCTGGGCACTTGGCTGCTCCCCAAGGGACAAGCTCCCCATCTGCCCAGCCCAGCACCCCTCTCCTCCCACTCCAGCCCTGTCCACTTACAGCCAGGGAGGGTTCTAGGCACCCTGGGGACATTTCTGTTCCTATAGCATCACCACTATGACTGGGAAGCACAAGGACACTCGAGACAGCCCCACTCAGAGTTCCAGCTCCCTTGCTTTGCCCAGGTAGGGTTCAAGTCTAAACCACACAGAGAGGGCCCCGGGGCAAGGGCACAGTGCATTTAAAGTGGAAAACACCAGAGCTGAGAGAAGCCTGGAAGTTAGGGGGCAGACTGACCCCATGTCAGAAAGTCAGAGAACCAGAGGGGGAACAAGGTCAGCGGTCAGCACCCATCAGAGCCACTTCAAAGAGCAATACCTCATGCGTGGGGCTTGTTCCACCACAGGGAGCCCCAGGAGCATAGCATGGCAGGAGGCCAAGTCAGGTTGAGCCTGGCCAGGCCCAGCTTCTGCCCAGATGCACTGAGCTCTGTGTCCCCCACTACGATTCAGATGGGACCTCGCACATTCTCTCCACATCTCTCCCAAACTCCCTGCACATTCATTCATTCATTTCTTCAGCTGGTGTATTGGTAGCAAGTTCGCACCATGTGCCAGGGCCCTGCTGCAAGCAACGGAGATTGGATGCTGCTTCACAGATAGCTGTGGCCTTGTGGGGCTCCAGTCTAGTTTGAGGGACACAGCTAACCTGACCAAGGACTAACATTTGAAATCACCAATGGTGCTACAGGCTATGGAGAAAAATTACCAGTGGAGAAAGAACAGGAAGTCAGGCTGGCGAAACACCTGAAGGACAAGAAGCCTCAGCAGGCAGGGGAAGTGCACCCCAGAGAGAAGCAGCCACCAGGGATCCAGGGTCCAGGTGCAGGACACACCCGCAGGCAGGCCTGCTCCATAGATCAAGTCCCCTCGCAAAATTTCTGACTCAGGAGGTCTGAGGGGCGGAGTCTGCACATCTGGCAAGTTTGCAGGGACCATACCTGTGAGCCCTGCTCCAAGGCAGAAGCCCCGGCCAGTCTGCGGATCTAGAAGAAGAGAGTAGGCTGTGGCGGTAACAGAGAAGGAGGTGCCACAGGGAGGCGGTGAACTCACTAAGAGGTAACAGGGTCCCCACAGGTCCTAAAGATCTACCCCTGTCCTGTGGGCTGTGCTGGGATTTGCAGCAGGAGGGGAATTCTCTTCTTATCCCAGAAGTGAGGCTTCCCCAAGATGAGCCAGACCCCCCTTCCAAGTTCTGGGCTCCTCCTCCTGTGTGCGGACTCTCCAGGGACAGAGAAGAAGGGAAAACGAACCCAGGACTTGCTACAGCTACATCCATCCTGTCCACTGTTCTGCACCTGCGAATGTCCCTTTGACCACTGGTGCCTGCTTAATTGTCACCCCAGCAAGACATAAAAGCACAAGGAAGGGGGGACCACCCTGAATTCCTAAGGCCACCAGACCTGGGGCTGAGTACTAACGTGAGGCTAGCTCTGGGCAGGAGGGAAACCATCCGTGAGCCTCAGTACGCCCATCTGTAAAATGGAGAGGAAGTAGACCCACACACCACCTGGCTCCCAAGCCCATCTCTGCCCTCTGGGTCTGGGGTCATCTGAACCAAGTCACATCTTCTTGCCATATTACAGAGCCCCTGTCAAGGCAGCTGGGGTTCAGGCCTGCTATCTCTGTGCCCTACCTTCGGATAAGGCAGCCTGGGTGACAAGGCAGAGGGCAGGAAGCCTCTCCGGTGAGTGCCACCGCCCTCCGCAGCAGTCTATGCCCCACGTGGCTGTGTCAGGCAGAGGCTGGCCCAGCCATACTCTGGGCAGACAGTGGACTGACCTCACCTGGGAAAGCCACCTGCTGAAAACTCCCTGCTGAGGAGCACCTGGCCTCCTGGGACCCAGCTGGAAGGTGCCCAGGTCGCCACCAACAACTGTTAGTGCAGGAGAAAGTCTGGGACCTCCAGGATGGCGCCTTGAGGGAAGGCAGGGAACAGACCAAGGACCAAGAGGAGACCCTGCAAAGAAGGTCGAAGTCACCGGCGGGGAATCCTAAAACCAGAGGGACAATGCACACTGCAGAGAGGCCCTTCAAAACACTCTCTCTGCTGAGTAATTGCTGCCTGTGCTGTCAGGGCCTCCCTAAATGACAATCCTATTCTCTCACACAGGGAGGGGACCGTAGGTGACGGGGTGATGGGCAGGGAGGAAGCAGGGAGCCTGCTGCAAGAGCCCTCATTGTTCATCCAGCCTCTGCATCCAGGATATGGCTCAGCAGCAGCCTCTGATCAGAGATGGCCAAGTGCATTTGCACATTATGACGTTTCTCTCTGGGTTTCTGTCCTAAAATCCCCTCCACAATGTGCCCCACATAACCACAGCCAAGTGGGCGCTCTGCACGGGGTGGGCGGGGCGTACGCACAGGCATGGCGTTGTTGAGGGTGTTGTTGTAGACGCAGGCGCGCAGCGAGTAATCCAGCATGCAATTTTCGAACAGCTGCAGAGCTTCTGTCACTTTCTCATGGAAGTCGTCCGCAGATTTATTCGAACTTGCAAAGTAGAGATAGTCAGAGTACAACCTGTGAATACAATAAATGGATGATGTCACCATCCGCCCATGTGAAATCACGCCGTGCGGGTGACAAAGAAAATCAATGTGCAATTACATTATCTGGTTTTGTTCATTAAGAAACAACCATTTCTCTGCCTTCCCTTGCAAAGGAGCCCCTCCCTGGTTCCCTTCTCGCTCCACCCCTCATGTGCCACCCCTCCTCCCCAACCAGAGAGGTCTACGCTGGCCCCAAACCACCACCAGCAGGATTTGCAAGGCTTCCTGCCACCCCAAGCCCCCTCAGGCCAAGGCTCTGATTTTACAACACCCTATTACAGAAATGATCAGTAGCAAAAAGACACCATGAAAATGGTGACACTCCTTCCCATCCTCTCTCCTCTTGGAGGAACACAGGGTGCTTGCAGTATCAAGGGCCCCTCTGAAACTCCTGGCTCTTCTCAAAGGCATTCGAAACAGTTTTCAAAAAGTATTAAATGTGTGCTCCTAGGTTCAAAGGAACCTGTTTTTAACCCAACTTCCAGGCACTTGCACATAGCAGGGGAACACCTGCAGGCTGGGTATCCACGCAGGCCTGCTCTCTCCAGGGACTCCACCCACACCCCTACCCACACTGGCCACCAGAGCTGGTGGTCCTCCTTGACCAGACTCAACTTCTGGCCACCCATCTCTGTCTGGTCACCCTATCTTAGTAAAACTCCTTCTGTGAAGGACAAGACAGGGGAGGCCATTGTTTTGGGCTAAGCTTCTGCCCTAGGCTCAACAAAGACCAAAGCAGAATGCAGTCCTCCAGCCAGCTGCCTGGTGATCAAACTGGGCTAGAAAAGGCTGGTTTTCCAAAACAGAGTGGACTCCCAGCAACCGATCAAAAGCAAAAGGGGTTCGGTCAACCTGAGCCTGAGCAGAGTCCCCTCTGCTGTAACCATACTACAGAAAGTGACTTTGGAGTAACCGACCCACTTCCCACTTCTGCTGGACACTCTTCTTCTGCCTGTCGTACCCACCCTGGGCTCGGCTTCTCGGGAGCCTGGCTATGACCAGAACAAACGCTGCTCCATCCATGAATTCCACTCACAGAGCTGATTGGATCCTTAAGCCCAAGCTGCTGGAATTTGTTTTTTCAGGCACTGCTGAGCTGTTTTAGCCAGAATCTCCCAACCCCCAAACTGAATCACCCTCTTCGTACGATCAGGGTCCTCGCTGCCCGGATGTCTGATCTCCTGGCCTGAGTTCAGCAAGATTCTAACCGGCTACTTCGGGCAGAACCCGGTTCCCTTAAGTTTCCCTAGTGACTTTCCACCCTCCACTCTCTGGCTGTAAAATCACCTTTTCTGCCTGCATTCCAGGTTGAACCCCATCTCTCTCTTCCCCTACAGACTTCCAGCCTGGCAGAAGCCCTGGTAGAGCCTCTATCTCTCCCTTGCTGCAGACGGCCGAGGAGCTGCCTCCAATGGAACTAACTGCAGGTTGTGAGCTTCCTGATCCTTTTCTGTCTCTGGCTCGGCAGCAGCCTCGGCTCAGAGATGGCCGAGTGCAATTGCACATTAAGACGCTTCTCTCTGGGTTTCTGTCCTAAAATCCCCCCCACAGTGTGCCCCGCATAACCACAGCCAAGTGGCCGCTCTCCAGACGTCCCCTCTCCGGCCTTCACCATTCCTGCTGTTCGTTTCCCCAGGGGTTTACCCTCCTCTCTTCTGGCGCACACCTTCCAGTGCCCGGCAGCTCTTCCTGATGCCTTTGGCCCCCACTGTGGCTCCCACCTGGGACAAGTGGCTAGCTGACCTCAGAGTGGCACCAGGGCTGCACACAGGGCTTCCCTCTCCTCAGCTCCCTGCTTTCTATGCCCCAGCCCCTACCCTGGCTCTCCTCTTCCCAGGGCAGGCCAGCCAGCCAGTCTCGCTACGCACATGTGTCTGGGGGTGAACTGCTGCACTGCCAGCCCCCTCTCCACCACTCCCACCTGGACTCACTCACCCCTGCAGAAGCAGAAGCCTCGCTGGCTGGCCACAGGGCTCCTTCTCACCGCCCTTTACTTCTCCCCCACTGCCATGTCCTTCTTGGGGGCAGGAGCAGGTCTTTTTCACCTCTGAATCCCCTGAGAGCTCCTCCCCCTCCAGTGTCCACAGAGGGGGCCCCTTTGAGGCCTGGAGATGCTTGGCAGATGCCCACAGGTTGCCTAGAATCCAAGCGCACCCTAGCGGCATCTTGTTGATCTCAGTCTGGTCAGACCCAAACCCCAACAGGATTTGTCTCAAAATGAGTCATTAAACATACTCAGGAACCGGTGAAAAGACTGGCCCACCAGATCCCACAGGCACTGTCCCATGACCAGTCCACTGCCACATCAGCTGTGCTACTGTCCTTCAAAATCATGACACGCAATACCCCTGAAATCCTGCCCAGGACCCTGCAGGGTGGGGCTCAGGTAGAGCCTACAGGCTGACTGACGGAGGCCAAAATCAGATTTGCAAAGACCCCAATCAGTCCTAACTGGGAGCAGCCCAAGCCACGATGTCAGTGAAAGTTCACAGACGCCTCTCAAACCGTTAATGAAACTCCATGTACCAGCCTGAGCCTGGAGCTCTCACCAAGGATGCCACAGAGCTACCCGAATGGTTTGGTGGAACTAGATTTCCATCACTTAAATCCCATCACAAAAATGCAATCACTGGCTCAAGGTTTCCATACTGAGAGGTTTTCCCCTTGTAGTAATAACATTTCTTGTGGACATTTGGCTCATAAATAAAACAAGAGTATGTAAACTGGCCTCAATTTTAGATACAAAATAAATTCATGAAAAAGCTTCTGATTGCATACAATTCCCCAGAGAAACCTGGGACGTGTCTAGCGTCCCAGGCGAGTGTACCCCCTGGTGGGACTGCAGGTTTTCATCTGCCTGGGGGGTGATGAGGTGAACTCATAACCCTGACCAGGCAGGGCCACTACCTCCTCGGCAGGGTGAGAAGCCCTCAGTCCCCTCCAGGTCTACCCACAGCTGGGCCGGGCTTCAAGAGTCCCTGGGCATCACTGCTAGGGCCCACGCTGGGGTCCTCTGCATCCAGCCCCATCGGCAGACACCCAAGCAGATGCGATTCCCCATAACAGATGGCCACTACCTCTCGACCCAGATTCTGTAGCAGGTTCAATATAACTACAGACTCGTCCATGTCCTAATCCGGGTACCTGGGATTGTGAGCTTATTTGGAAACAGGGTCCTTGCTTGTGTAACTAAGTTGAGGATCTTGAAATGAGATCATAGGGGTTCAGGCGAAACAGAGAGGGAACACCATGGGGGACCTAGGCAGACAGCACGCTGCAGCCAGGAGCCAGGACATCGAGACCACTGGAAGTCACCGGCAGCAAGGGGCCTGGGGGAGATGCTCCCCAGAGCCGCCCCAGGGAACCAACCCTGCAGGCAACTTAATCTCAGACCTCCAGTCTCCTGAACTGGGAGGGGACAAATTTCTGTTGTTTTAAGCCACCAAGGTTGAGGCAATTTATTAAACAGCCCTAGGGAATGAATAGACTCTAAACCCAATCTCAAGGGAAACAAAGGATTGTTGATTCAACAGCACTCTCCCACCCAGGACCTGGGAACAGCGGCCCCAGGTGTGGAGAGGACTCTGGCCAAGTGGCCAGTCTTCCCACCAGGAACCCAAAAGGAGGCAAGCACAGCAAAGGGCCCTTCCTTCAGGGAGCACTCTAGGTCCTCCTGGAGAATTAGGCTAAAGAGCCAGGTGCGGGGTGGTGCGCACCTGTAATCCCAGAGGCTTGGGAGGCTGAGGCAGGAGGATGGTGAGTTCAAAGCCAGCCTCAACAAAAGTGAGGCACTAAGCAACACAGTGAGACCCTGTTTCTAAACAAAATACTAAATAGGGCTGGGATGTGGCTCAGTGGTCGAGTGCCCCTGAGTTCAGTCCCCAGTACATACCCTTCCCCACCAAAAAAAAAAAAGAAAGAAAGAAAATGTTGGGAAGGATGGCAAAAAGCTGGAGCAGGCACAGGCACAAACAACTAATACAAAGAGACAGATCCACAAGTCCACAGTTTAGTCTTTAAAATCAACCGCACAACAATGAAGTAGGGGAAAGAGACCAATGTGGAAAATACATAGGGGTACAGCTGACTCAAGCTCCTGATGAACCACCACGGCATGGCAGGAGCACCCGTGCACTCTTGGGATGCATTAATACAGACACAGGCGAGGAGAATGTGGGAGGGTGGAGCCAAGTGACAGGCACAAAGGGGCCCAAAAGTATAGGCAAGAGCCTGTGGAGCTGGGTGCCAGATGGTGAAGGACAGAGTGGATTCCCCTGGGGAAGCAGAGACTCGGCAGGAAGGATCCTGACCCCCTCTGTCCTCCTGAAGGTCTGACCAGTGGGTAGAAGATTCAGGAACAAAGATCCGTTTCATAAAAGGGAAAATTTCTTCAGGCAGGGCAGTGGCCCTTGACGGTGGCAGCAGCAGCTGAGGTTGGAGGGGTGAGATCTCTGGGGCAGGGTGGGGCCCAGCGGAGCTGACGTCCGGGCAGCCCTGAGTTTGGGGACTGCCCAGCCCCCTCCTGCCAAGCCACCCCTTTTCCTTCCCCAAGCCACCGGAACAGATGGGTGTTACACTTGGCCAGGACTGTTTCCAACAGCGATTCCAAATATAAGCCCCAACCCATCCCCAGCCTTCTGCGCTGTGGTTATTTTAGAAGCTGTGGCAGGGGCCTGCGCTCAGGCCTGTGTGGCTTGGCCCATTCCTGTGCGGTGCAGGGGTCCTGGGGCCCAGAGGGTCTTGGGGAGGAGAAGCTCCCTTTAAAGGTAACTATGTCTCTCCCCATGGGGACAAAGGAGTGGCAGCAATGACCCCCGCCTCAAGGTCCCACCATAGAAAATCCAGGTGGGTGCCAAAGGCCACTGCTGAACTCACTCAGTGATGTTTAAGGACCACTGCTGTGAGCTGATAGGTCAGCTAGTGATGACCGTTAAAGCAAAGCCAGGGGCTCAGGGGGCAGCTCAGTGGTAA